CAGCCTCTGGTCCCATACTAGACAAAATGGAAATGTGTAGTGCTTTTAATAACCATTTTGCTTCAGCTGGCAACCTATTTGAAAGGATAATCTCAGAAAATTAATATCATTCTACTAGAGAGTCCTCTAGTCACCTCAGAACAGATTGTAAAGAATGATGCTCTAACACACTCACATACTTTATTTTCATTTCAACCATTTGATGTCTATGATGAACTAAGTGCTTTGCTAAAGATTGATGTTTAAAAAAAATCCATATGGGCTGACTCACTTAATCCCTTCTTACTGCAGCTCTCTGCACCACTTATTGCAGAACCATTGACCTATATTTTTTACTTGACAATTGTTTCTGTTGTTATCCCTAAAATCTGGAAAGCAGCACATGTCCTCCCCCTACATAAAGGAGGAGGTCCTTCTGACTTAGATAACTACCATCCAATCCTCAAATTATCTTGTCTTTCCAAAGTTTTAGAATCCCTGGCCAACTGTCAGCTAAGAACGTTTTTAACTTCTCACTCTATTCTTAATGTGCACCAATCCGGTTTTAGACCTGAACATAGCACCGTTTCAGCTGCTATGCTTGTTTTAGATGATGTGTTAAATTGCTTAGATCATAAAAATCTTTCCAAGGCCTTGGACACTGTTGATCATTACATTCTCATTCAAAGGCTGACTGAAATAGGCTTGGATCAGGCTTCTTGCAACTGGTTTGAGAATGATCTGTCAGATAGGACACAATGCGTGAGTTCTGATGGTGTCAAGTCTAGTTTCTTAGATATTACAAAAGGTGTACCGCATGGGTTGGTATTGGGACCTGTTCTCTACTATTTATATAAATAATATTGGTCTATCTGTTAAAACTTGTAATATTCATCTGTATGCAGACGACACTGTTATGTATGCCATTGCCCAGGCTATGTTAGCGCTGCAATGTGACTTTGTTGCCTTACAGAAAGCCCTGGTTTGTTTAAAACGTGTACTTAATGCGGGTAAGACTAAATATATGTGGTTCTCTAATTCTCGCAAAAAAGTTTCAGATGAACTACATATTTATTCATAGGATGGTTCTCCCATCGATCGGGTTCCTGCCTATAAATATCTGGGTATTTGGATTGACAAAGAATTCATGTTTAAAAAATATATGGATGAGCTAGTTAAAAAGCTAAGATTCAAAGTAGGCTTCTTTTTTAGAAATAGATCTTGGCTCTCCCTAAATAGCAGGAAGCAGATCGTACAGTCAACTTTCCTGCTAGTTCTTGACTATGGTCACACCATTTATCAGATTGCATGAGCCACTACTCTTAAACCTTTGGATGCCGTCTACCATACTGCCCTTCGCTTTATCACAGGTGACAGTTTTAAAACTCACCACTGCATCCTGTATCAAAAGGTTGGCTGGTCCTCTTTAAAGTCCCGTAGATCACTTCTACACAAGATTCCAATTTACCTAGCTTTGTTGCTAACGTATAACTTTGTTGCTAACGTATAAAAGAATGAGCTCCCAAACTCGCTCGCAGGATTGGTTAGCTCTTGAGGTCCCTCTGGTCTCAACCAATTTAGGTAAATCCTCCTTTAGTTTTAGTTCCCCCCAATGTTGAAATAACCTACAAAATTTCTTGCATCTTGATTCCCTGGTTCCACTAGGGCAGTTTAGGACTCTGGTTTTGAATGAATTAATTGCAGTTGTTTCGATTGATTGTAGTGATTTATTTGTTGAAATTGTGGTGTTGAGGTTGTGCCTTGTGGTTATTTGTATTCTTCTTGTTTTATTTGTAATGTAAATGTTTCTTACTGTTTGTGAGAAAAAAAATTGTACTCAGGGCACCATTGGGAAAGAGACCCTGGTCTCAGTTGGGCTACCCTGAATAAATACAAGTTTATACAAATTTACCGGTTTCTAACAGTTAGTTATCCCAGGAAACGGGAGTGGGTTTGGGCGGTAAATCTCGGTAACCTGGTTCTCGCTATTAAATCCAAGTCTTTACCCTTTGGAACTTTCTCACCATCAATGTTCGAATATTGGAAATATCAGTTCCATATTGACTCCTCACTCTGAGAAAGCAATCCACACACACACACACACACACACACACACACACACACACACACACACACACACACACACACACATACAGTATTCCTGTCAGCACACTTCATAGCCCTGTGTCTGTGCAGCCCTGTCCTGCCTTGTTGTTGACACCAGGGTGACCCTTGAACATGCAGGGATGTCTGTGCCTGTGTGCATTTGTGGCTAACACTTACTGGCAGCCCCAACTCCAATCTTACCCCTGCCAATATGCTGGAAATATATGCTGGAAACAATCTTGCTCTGCTCTGCTTTTTATTGCACTCCCCTTGCACTTCTCTTTTCATGTCTGTCGGTGGGTCTCTCTCTCTCTCTCTCTCTATTGAATTGGAAGTTAATTGAAAATAATTTAATTGAATGGAATACACAATGGAATTGATTGAACATACAGAACATTAGAGAGTCTGAGGTATGGCAGCTTTGTTGCCATTCTACATGGAAGCACAGTCCAAAGATGGTAGCTGCCTGTGACTAGATCTGTCACCAAGAAAGAGACTCCATATTGCTGTGTCATTTGGATTGAAATTCACAGTGACTCTTGGATAGATAATCCCCAGATCTGTAAATTAATCTCTCTCTCTCGCTCTCTCTCTCTTTCTCTCGCTCTCTCGCTCTCTCGCTCTCTCTCACACACACACACACACACACTCAGTCTCTCTTTCTTTCTTTCTTTCTTTCTCTCTCTATCCCCCACAACTGCTATTTTCATCACAGTACGACATCCCGTATCAGTCGTTGTAGCGTCCCATCCAAACCCCCCAAATGACAGCATAATGAAGGCACTAAGATGGCTGACAGATTGTGACCCATATCTAGGCTGCTATTTCTCGTGATGGGTTTCCACCAACCCCGTTCTCTGGCATTCCCTTGATCTTCTTGGCAGCTTGGCACACACGGCTCGCTCTTTTGAATGCTCGTTTCTGTTTGCCTTTTTCTGTTGCAAAGCTATCAATGAAGATCTGTGCTATGTGGCTACTTATGTAGTGAAGAAGGTGTCTTATACCTTATAGGCCCACATCTAAATAACATATTATTCTGGTTGTAAACTGGTTTTCTGGTTGTGAAGACTTAATTATTTAGTGATCAACGACAGAATTTAAGTGATCAAATCTGCGTAGACTGCCATGGCTGGTCCCAAAAAGAGCTTCTAAACCAAGAAGTTGCCCCAGTGTTTATGATGATGTCATCTCCCTAAGTCTACCATTACGACATTCAACATTTACCGAACCTGCTTAAGAACATCGCCATAGGTCCCTATTAGTAGATATTGCGCTAAGCTGTTAAACTATCCCAGTCTCGTTATTTTCATAGCTCTTAATGATCCAGAAAACCTTGTCTTTATCACACTAGAGAAGTCTTTGAAGTCAGGAGAGTTTCAGAAAAGGAGGAAAGAGATCCTGGGATAAGAATGTCAGGGATGATGCCTCTTATTTTAGAAATGGAAGCAGTTGGAAGAGTTTGAAAAATATGGGAAAGAGGGGTCAAATGAGATTGTGCGTTGCTGGTTTTGAAAGTTGCTCTGTTGTCAAAACCGTTGCTTACAGTTTAGTGAGGTGAAATTAACTATGGGGACAGGAGATTCTTATTTAGATTCTTATTTAGGTAGGCCTATTTGTGTTGTTGGTTATAGTGGTGTCCTGGTCACACAGTCCTTCTATGTAAAGAGTATGTGGACTGTATGGAGAGTATTTCTACTATATCAGTTTTGAGATTGTTATTCTCTTTCGCTAAGTAGAGGTCAGATCTCTTATGCCACAAGTCAACTTTCTATAATTTTTTTCCTCAGTTCTACCTTTGGACTTTAACTATTCATAGAGGGATATAGGCACTTTGATATTCAATACTTCTTAGCTTGTTGAAATAAGAATTTGCCATTTAATCTGCTCCAAATGCAATTTCACAGTTGAAGAAGGGTGATATTTTGATATTTGTTTCCTTACCTGAAAATAAGTATTTGGACAAGGAGTGTCTGCAATCCACACTTTTTAATTTTCAGACCAAAACCCCATGTAAATCAATATCCCCCATTTTCTGAATTTGCCCAAATCATCTCAGACTCAGATATCCATCTTTAACCCATGTTAAGCTACTGATAAACGTGAGCATATTGATAAACTGCATCACACAATATTAATATGTAATGGTGTCAAGTCATTATACCAAGCTCTCTATGTATTTCCCTTAAATCTGCCTAAATATGCAACATTATAATGGGTGCTGGAGATTAATACAAAACACACATTGCAGTGGAAGACAATTCCAAAATCTCTCCAAATTAAACAAAATCCTCTCAGCTCTCACCGCTAAGCCTGTTACGACAATTACAGTATACCACGAAGGCTGCCCGGGGTCCGCATACATTATTGATGCAACTTGGGTAAATACTAAACAGCGTAGCATCTCATTGTCTCAGAGACTCTGAACACTCCGGACTCCAGCGAGGCGGAGAAGATTATCTCTCCGTTTCAAAATGGCCTCCCTCTCCAATGAATTACTTGTCTGCGCAGTAATCACAGAGTAACGCCTGAAGGCGTGCAAGGTTCCGAGGGCACCAAAAGAAAATGGGAAAATCATTATCAGATAATCAAGCCTTTTGCCCCTTCCCCCTGTCCCCCTGGAAACATGGAAATCAAGTCCCTGTCAAATAAACGAAAAAAACCTGTGCCCTCTTTATTAAAAAGGGAAAAACCAGAGGCTTTGTGTGCATCCCAAATACCACCCTATTCCCTATATAGTGCACTACTTTTGACCAGAGCCTTATGGTCAAAACTAGTGTACTATATTGGGGATATGGTGCCATTTGGAATGCAACCCTTGATAAAACATTAAACAGAGCCCTATCTTCCATAAAATGTGAAGGCAAGTGTTGTTATTAGACTGGTAAATGTGTTGTTCTCTGTCTCTCTTCTCAGATGGCAAGTCAGAGAGCGGGGAATTGGACCTGGACGGCATCGACGATAAAGAAATTGAGAGGGTATGTGCTTCCTCTTAAGTGCTTTTGAGATAAGAATACTTTTAGCACAAATCATAATGCTTTTTCTTTAAGTCCCTTACATGAGATATTTTATTTTTGCATATTCCAATTCCCCCAGAGAATGGGGTCACGGCCAGCCATTGTCAACGACGACCCTGGAGTAATTAGGATTAAGTGCCTTGCTCAAGGGCACATCAACACATTTTTAACCTTGTCTGCTCAGGGATTCAAACTAGCAACGTTTCAATTACTGGCACAAAACTCTAACCACTAGGCTACCTGCCACCTACCCTAACACTTTACCCTTGTAGCACCTTACTAAAACCCTTACTTCCCCCTTCCTTCTTGCAGTATATCCTCAACGACAAAGAAGTGAGAGTTAAGACGGATCTGTGGATGAAGCAGAATGAGGAATATCTGAGGGAGCAGAAAGGTGAGCGAACAGACAAAACCTCTCATGCCCTATTCAAAATTCACATATTCATATTGATCCATCATGTTACGATGCAGTTCCCGACAGGTTTTCATATTAGCCAGCTCTGTAACGAACCAATTGTTCCCAATCCTCAATGGTCAAAAATATATATTTTTTTGTTTTTGTTAAAGAGTTTTTGCTGTCATCATGGTCATAAACCTCTTTGTTGAGCTTTTAAGTACTTATACTTCCCTTCAATATATTTATCTATGTTAATTCACCCTCGCCCAGTTGAACCATTGGGATTTATTGGGCTGTTATATTGCTGTAAGTAGCTTAATAGCTAGGGCCAACGAAAAAGGATGTGTCCCAAATTACAGCCTATTCCCTTTATAGTGTACTACCTCCAATAAGGTGCTGGTCAAAATAAGTGCACTATATAGGGAATAGGGTGACATTTTGGGACGCATCTTCTATTCCCTCTGAAATATAGCTGTAGCTAAGTATTCTATTTCTATCAGTACCAGAATACAGTAATTACCTATACTATACTATTGTCTATACATCATGACCTAATCATTCCTTACTGTCTATTGTAGAGGGATATATATTTAGTTGTTTTGTTCTTGTTTTTTTTTAGAAAAGGAGGAGAGGATAGCTAAAGAGAAAGAGCAGGGGACCTACAAGGAGAAGGTGAGGAATCGAAGGGTGATGGTGTGTGTGTCTGTCTCTGTCTGTCTGTGTTTTATGTGCGTTCGTTTCATGTGCATGCTTTTTCAGCAGTGTGTGTGCTCAAGAATCGGTGTGTGTGTAGAGGTGGCCCTTCCTCTGACACAGAACAGCTGTGTGTCTAGAGCTGGCACATATTTTCAGTTTGAGCCGAATCAGCTCTGCTCTGCTCTTCGGTTTCAATGCAGAGGCTCCAGAGACTATATGAATATGACTACTGTGGCAGGGGAGCGCTAACCCTGCGCTAACCTGTCTCGCCATCTCCACATCCGCCCGCATTCAACCCGGGCTGGATTAGCCGTACGGCAGCAGAGTAGCAGACTGCCTAATGAGGTGCAGAGAGGCCCTGATACCTATTCCAGATGCTCAGGGGTGAAGTTACCCTTAGGTACAGATATAGGATCAGCTTCCCCTCCCCCAATATTAACCTTAACCATTACTAGAGAAAATGTAAAACTGACCCAAGATCAGCGTCTAGAGGCACCCTACGGAGGAGGGGCTCAAGGTCCACAGTAGTCGGGGTCTCATTGTGGTCAAGGCAGTGGGGGTTTTCCCTGTGCTGATACACCGTTCTGTATGACAAACAGGGCTTGCGTCCCAAATGGCACCCTATTTCCTATATAGTGCACTACTTTTGACCGGAGCCCTGTAGGCCCTGTTCGAAAGTAGTGCACTACATTAGGGTGCCATTTGGGACACAACCAGGGTCTTTCGGAGATCACTTGTGAGTCACGGCCGACCGAGAGGCATGGAAAGGTTCCAGGGCCTACTGAGCTTCTGTCATCTCGATAATCAGACTTTTTTAGGGTGACATCATACTTCCCGACCCCAAAGGAAAGGGTGTATCGTCCATGACTTAATACAACACTTAACTAGCTACTGTTGTTATTACTATCAACAGTGATTCTTTTTAATGATTTTACCATTTGATACATTATCACTAATATCAATATATCAATCTGTGCACGTAACTCTCAACTTAAGTGTCCCATGGCTTGCAATGCCCTACAGCTGAGTTCTCCAACTCTGGTCTTGGAGAGCTACTGGTTGCTGGGCTGGAACAAAAGTCTACAGGCCCAGATTAGAGAATGCCGCTCTATACATCTATAATATCTGATATAGTAGTATGTACAGTATATCTGCATGGCATTATTATGTCCCCCAAATTCCTCCCTAAATAAAAAGAATAATAAAGGTAATCTTGATGCTTCCAACAATCTAATGGATCTCATTCAACCAATGTTTCGGTCCCCTAAATTCCTCCCAACATATCAGGGGGGTATTCACTAGGAACCAAACGTAAGCAAATGGCAGAAAGGGGGAGGGACTAACCTGAACTTGTCCAATAAGAAACGCTTGTTTCCGTTGCGAAACATTTTGCTACGGTTTACTATGGTGTGCACTAATGAACACACCCCAGATCTTCTCAACTCTCTCTTCCCCTTGCAGCCCAAGAAAACGTCCAAGAAGCGGGAGCCCATCCGTGCCAGTACGGCGGGCGAGGCCATCGAGAAGATGCTGGAGCAGAAGAAGATCTCCAGCAAGATCAACTACGACGTGCTGCGTGACCTTAACAGCAAGGTTGGCAGCGGCAACAGCAGCCCCGCCCGGCCAACCTCCACCGAAGAGCCACCCAGTGGCCCCCCTGGGCGGAAGAGGCTGACCCGCCGCAAGAAGCAGCCCAACAAGACCAACATGGGCCTGGCCACCACCGCCAGCATCATGGGCAAGAGGTAAGGGGATTTAAACTAGAACTGTTAGATGTAAGCTAGCCTTCACATATGGATGAGTGTGACTAACATTTACATTTTAGTAGACACGCTTATTTTAGTAGACACGCTTATTCCTGTGGGAATCGAACCTACAACCCTGGCGTTGCAAGTACCATGCTCTACCAACTGAGCCACACGGGAGAATTAGCTTTGGGTGAGCTAATTCTGTTCTCATTAGTAGGTCTGCAGGTTTTATTTTTTAAAGGGATACTTTGGGATTTTGGCAATGAAGCCCTTTATCTACTTTCCCATAGTCAGATGAACTTGTGGATACCATTTTTATGTCTCTGCGTGCAGTTTGAAGGAAGTTGCTAACTAGTGTTAGAGCAATTGCTAACAAGCTGTTACCATAGACTTCCAGCCATTGTGCCAATGCTAGTTAGCATTGGCTCGCGAAACTACCTCTAACTTCCTTCATACTAGATGCAGAGACATACAAATGGTATCATTGAGTTCATCTGACTCTGGGGAAGTGCCAGAATCTGCCAAAATCACAAAGTATCCCTTTAAGTGGAAGAAGTCACGTATGTGAGGAATGAATGTTATTCATGTCTGAGGATTGGCCTCACTATATAGGAGAAGGTACAGTAGTGAAATGCTAAGGTCAGGATTAGGCATCGACAGAGAGGGAATTGGAGTGACATACAAATGTTAAGATTGCGAAAAGTCCTTATGGTTGGAAAATAACCCAATAGCTGGGCTCTGAGAAGCACTTCTGGGATATAAAATACAACAAAGCTAATGTTGCTTATGATACCTGTATCTTATCGAGTCATTAAACATACAGGCTATTCAACAAGCCATTTTTATAATTTCCTGACAACATGGGAACACTTTCACATAACCACAGGAACCTGGCCCTTTTTACCACCAATAATAGGCACCAATTGTGGCGTAAAGGTCCCCCATTGCCTCTGGAGGTGTTAAAATCTTACACCCTCCTCAGTCGCCCACTACCACTCACCCACTTTCTGATCCCTAGGCTGGTTTGCCGAAGACGAGCCAATCTTGCCCTCAGGACGTCATGTCTGAGGTGTCCGTCTTCGCCCCTCTCTCCAATTAATCCTCCAGTTGGACTCCAAATGTCCTTGTAATGAACGCGGAGCATGAGATCACGACTTCTGCTACTGACACGCCGCGGCAGACCATTTCTCATTTTGCCAATCATTTCTCGATCATGCCACGGCCACATTAATGATAATTAACATCTTGGTAATGAATTCTGAATTGGTAATGAAAATGAGATGTGAGGCACTGTTGGAGAGCTGATGAGTAGACAGCTGGTAGAATGACAAAGCCCCCATCACCTACCCTACCCCCCCTTCAGCAGGCTCAGGTGCCGGGGTCGGTACTATCTAGTCTCTGGTCAACTCCATCTGATTGTAGCTATCCCTTCAGGCCTCGTTTCTTCATCAGAAGACAGATGCTGGGTTTATATTCAATTTTCTCCCCCTTAACAATGGATTGACTGTAATCAGTTATGAATATTATGTGTTCATGGAAGTAGAGCTCATTTGATGGAATCGTGTCACTTCTGGCTATTCAGTGTGTTAATGAATTAGATACAAACTTTACAGTAGGGATTTTTATGAATGTTGAAGACCTAGAAATCATGTTTCAACTAAGTAGGGTCCAGCCTTTCATTCATCATATTTAAGGTTGCACCTCTTCTCCTATTGTTTGAGCACAAAGCCTTGCAGTCTCGTTGATTAATGTACTTGTGTCCCATCACTGCAACCTTGAAGTTGCTGAGGCTCTGGGCTTCAACCAAACAGAACACCGGTTCTCAGTATGTGGCCAGCTTACGTGGGGGGAGGTGGGAAGAAGACGACTTGGAACAAATCTGACAATGAACTCGAGTTTTAGGTCCAGTGCTACAGCAGCGGATCTGAGCCTCCTGCTGGAGTATGGGAAAGCGGCTGGAACTCTGTCTATTGGGATAATGAGAGGGGGGTAGGATTAGTTTCCCTGTGTGCATTTTAGCTGGCCAGGGTTTGTCTAGCTTGGCCCAGCAGCCTGAAATATAAGGTATGCCTGCCTCACTTTTGTGCATAAAGCACCTTCTATTCCCATCAGTGAGAAACGGCTACGTTTTGTTTTTGTTTCCTACGTCTTTCCTCATTGAATAAAAAAAAGAATGTGTGCATTTTTTATGCTCCCTCAACTTTATCAAAGCATTTAGTATTGAATCACAGCCAGATATCTGAGACCGAGGGAACAGAGTGTCTTTCTATGAGTGTTTCTCTTGAATGTTTGAAAGCTAGCACTTGGTATGCGACTTGGTATCACCGCACAACACATTTAAGTTTGTTGTCACATAAAATGCTCAGTGCTTGTCATTGTGATGCATCTTACGTTAGTCGGAGGCAAGATTGCTCTCTTTAAAGTTATTCCTTCCTCCCATTTGTATGAGGAACCGCGGTGCGAGTCGAGCTCGTGGGATTCAGGTGGCTTAGCCTGCTCTTGGATCTGGCCGTTTAACCTGGCACCTCAGAGCGTGCGTTGTGTTTTAAAAGCCCCTAGAGGCTAGAGTGGAAAGGGAGAAGGAAGCCTGACAGTAAACCATTGTTGGCTGTCATCCTGTTGGTTAGTGCGCCGCTGCACTTACACATAGCCCCCCCCCCCCCCCCCCCCTCCACACTCCTTCGCCTGGGATGACGCACAGCTGGTGTTGTTGATCATATCATCCTAGCCTCCCCCACTCAGAGCTGAAAACCTTGTCACTGAATTGAAATACTTTCTTAGACACAAAGTTGAAACGGTCTCTGATGCATGTTTTTTCATCTCATTTGTATTGAACCAGGAAAATGTATTGAGAAGTAGTTGTCATCTGCTGTTATGGCCCGGCAAGATGCACAGCACACATCAACAGAGACATCAACAAACACAACAGCAGAGTCAGTCCAATACAGTAATTAAACATCTATTTCCCCCATTACAGAGATGACACTCTTTTCTCACAGACAGAACTGGAGCTAACTGTCCGAGTTTGAACTTTCTCAGCTATCCATGGTCAGAGCAGAGACTTCATTTTCTGTCTCGCATGCAGACACACTCTGAACACTGAAACTTTCCCACAGCCACAGATCATGTGAAGTCTCACCCCTCCCCTTCACTACAAGTCCTCCACCAGCTGCCAGACGAAAGCCCCCTCCGCGCCCACCAAACTAACAAAGATGGAAAAGCACTCTTCCAGAATGGGCAAAACTAATTACCCTGTAGTTCTTTGTCCCTCATCAACTCCCCCCTCCCGCCCAATCCCCTTCTCTTTATAAAAGCTGCAATTCCTGACTAGTCAAGGCTGGTTGTTTTAAGTGTAAATCGTAACGAACGGTGGCAGAAATGTCTGTGTGCTGATCTCTTTTCAGGGAGTCCCACAGGAGCCTCTCAACCGTACCCTCTACGTAACCTTGATATGATCTTTGTTTTACTGGTAGTATTCGGGACCAGTGACACAGCAGCAAACTTGAGCAGACACACAGAGCTGCTGTTCTGCGTTTGAAAGGGCTCGTAATTCCAGCCTCCCGAATACTTTTTTGCTCCTGACTAGCTTTCGATACAATAATGTTTGTTTGTGTCTTTATCGACCTAGCAAAGGGCAAAGTTTGGCGCAAGAAGAACAGGGTGTCTCATCTCACGCTAGCCAGAAATAGCAGTCCAGGATCTGGGGCACCCTGATGTGTTTTGCAGGGTTCGTCTCTGAGAGATTGCCTCTCGCCTTCTCCCCCTCAAACTATCTCCAATTTCCTCTTGAAATGTCATAATTTCCATCCGGCTGCTACTTTTCCCTCTGCTGTGACTCCCCCTCCCCCTTTGCCTGCTAACCCACTCCCAGCACCCGTGCGAAAGGCTACCTCTGCAGACCAACAAATGACACATATGCTCTGGGTCATGCCAAGGCCCTCAGATGCCCATCCGGTTGCTGCTGAGGGGACCTGGTATGGAGGCACCCGGGCGTGGAATGTGCTGTGTCTGTGTGTGAATGGTGCACCATACAGCCAGACCCCCTGGTAGGCTTCCCTAGACCACCACCCCCTTCCATACCCTCGAGCACAGCCCCCAACCGACAGATTGATTCGTCAACACGCCACAGCATCTCTGTCATGCCGTGCCACATCCCCAATATCCCTGCATTGGTAAACACTGGAGTTGTTGACAGATGATTTCCCCAGAGGGCAGGATCTGGCCTCTCGGTGTCTCCCTGAGCCATGCCTGTGGGGAGCGGAGGGAAGGCACCCTCTCTCCACCCAAAGCTTGCAGAGTGGCATGTGTGAAGAACAGGACCTGGATGTCTGGTTTTGTGGGCTTTCTTTTCTTTCCCATGGACTATACAGATCACATAGCAGACTGGGTAATGTTTGGTCTGCGTAATGCACCAGAGAGCTCTTTTCCTGAGATGTATTTTCCGGAACGCCTCGCATTCTTTCTGTTGTCAAACAGTCTGAGGGATGGCTGAAGCTCGCAGATGCATTTCTTATGTCAGTAAATCCCTGCCCACGCTCCACTCTCCCAGTGCCTCTCTTGTCAGGGGCAGCCACTTACTTGTGTGTGGAAGAATCTTAGCCAGACAGTCACCGTCTCCCCCACTGGCACCTCATGTCCGTCTGTGCCATTGTGTGGAACAGCAGCTAATCAAAGTCTTCTCTTAAAGATTAGCAGTGGAGACCGATGGTCGAGTGAAAGTCCTTCTCAAAGGAACTTTCTTCTGCTGCACTGACATCTGACCTCTCTGTAAAGTGAATCAGGATGGTGGTCGTAGATGGCTCACCCACTATTGTTCCACACTATTGAGGGCAGTGATTTATCTGTAGCTTGTGGTCAGGCAGTCTGGAGGGCACCTTGATGTTTGAGCTCAAAAGCCATTTCCTGCTGTTAGGAACAATGGCTGTGTCCCAACTCAAATCAAAGTGCAAAGGATACAGCAGGTGTAAAACAGAACAGTCAGACGCTTACTTGCAAGCTCTTTCCCAACAATGCAGTATTGAATATTACATTTTAGTCATTTAGCAGACACTCTTATCCAGAGCGACATACATCCAGAGTGCATACATTTTTCATACTGACCCCCCGTGGGAATCGAACCCACAACTCTGGCGTTGCAAGCGCCATGCTCTACCAACTGAGCTACAAGTAAGATGAAATAATATAAAGTTTAAAAAACGATACAATATGAGAATGTAATACAGGGTCAATACCATCATTTCAATGTGCAGGGATACTGGAGTAGAGGTAGATATGTACATGTAAGCAGGGGTCAAAACGTGATTGGTAGCAGGATAGATAATACAAATAAATAAATAATTATAATTATAATAATAATAATAATAATAGCAGCAAAGTGTGTGTGCAAGCGTGTCAGTGTCGGTGTATGTGAATGTGTGGGTAGAGACCTGTTGGTGTACATAGAGTCAGTGCAGATAGTCCGTGGGTGAGGGTGGACAGCCATTGTTTATCTGTTCAACAGTCTTATTGCTTGGGGGTAGAAGCTGTCTCGGAGCCTGATGGTCTGAGACCTGATGCTCTGGTACCGTCTGCTGGACGGTAGCAGAGAGAACAGTCCATGACTGGGGTGGATGGAGTCTTTGGCAATTTCTTTAGGCTTTCCTCAGACACCGCCTGGTATGAATGGGTAATGGTACCCCTATGGTACTGATAGGGCTCTGGTCAAAAGTAGTGCACTATGTAGGGAATATGGTGTTATTTGGGAAGCGCCCAATGTGGCAAAGGTGGCTTAGACCAGACAATCTCATTGGCTAGGAGCTTTTTGAGGGAATGCTACTTCAGTGGATGTAAGCCTATTATGATTTTAGCTGTCAATTTAGCCTTCCATGCTAAATGTTAACACTTATGTAGGACGTATGAAGGAAATTGCTTTTTCACCTTATGTATGGTGTGCATTAGTTAATGTTTATTAATTAATTCATGTTTATTATGTTTTAATTCATTTATTAGTGTGTACTCTTTATATCGTAGACAATCAGCCATTCAATTGGCTACATTTGTTAATGTGATAGGCAATATAATCATTATTACATTTGGTACGTTTTCTCTTATTTACCAATGGTAAATTACATTAATTCCCTTTCACAACAACAATTATTCACAACAGCAACCAGGTTGTTAACCATTTGAGGGAAGTCATGAATCCTTATAGACTCAGAGGTTAAACTGCTCAGGGCAACGGGCGAAGATAAATCACGGAGCCTTGGTGCTGCGAATCTATCTATTGTGAGCCACACACATTTCCGTGCCGGCCCTCTGTCTCCATCTGCTTCTCTGCATCGAGGGAAGGTGATGCAGACATTTCTTGTGTCTCAAGCTGTCTCCGTGGGAACTCCCTCCCACTCACCGGGTTGCCATGGGCACAGCTCTCAGCTGTAGTCTTACTAGAGAGGCCTGGGCTGAACAGGCATTCTGACCACTGAGAGTAAATAATCAGCGCAGGATAATAATAAAACTCCACCTGTTGTTTTGTTAGGAATGGAGATTTCTGTATAGAATGAGAACATGAGACTAAATGCAATTCAAGAACAGCCATTTGATATTACTGACTGGCAGTGTAGTCGCAGTGGTCATTAAATCTTCCATGATCATGACCCTGTAAAACAACATATTTCACTGCACTTATCTGGTGTATGTGACAATAATACAAAATAAAAATCAATCTCAGATGATCAATGTTTTGCGGGGGAGGGCATGGTGAACAGTTCCCTAGTGGACAACAAACCTGACCTGATCCACCAAGCAGTCTGTTCACAATACTATGTGTGAGAGTTAGAAAAATGTAGAGGGGGAGTGTGTCTGTGTGTGTTGGAGAGGGGGGGAATAAAGCCACCCACAGACAGTCCCATTTACAGTAGGAGAATACCAACTGTGAAATTGGGCGTGAAGAGATGGGGGAGAATGCCGTCACAACAGTGAGATACAGTGTGGGGGAGGGTAACTAAATCTCTCCCCCCTGCTGACCTTCTCAGCGGTAGCATCAGATAATCATCACTCCTTTCTACCTCCATTCCGAGGATTCCCCATCTCATTCCTATCCCCGAGACTCTCCGTGCCCTCCAGAGTGTGTCTGCAGGAAGTGTGATAAGGCCCGCTGGTCAGCCAGAGGGGGTGAAGTCACGTGTGCGGGGGAGAAACTGCTGATGCAAACTCACGGCCCCTGGTCGGATTGCATCTGTATTCTTCCTGGGTAGCCCGCATCGGCTCTTGGATTGGAGAAGTTGTGCTACATCTTTAATGGCTTTGTCCTTGGGGAAAGGGATGGCTTCATGTTCTCTGAGCCAGCCCCCCCTGAAAACATGTTAGCCTCCGTAACCTCGCTCTTCAGTGCTGATACTGGAGTGTGAAAGCAGCAGTGTGCTGGAACATGACAGAAGGCCTCGCTTCCTCCTCCAGCCTACAGCACTATCCTCCGGGCTGTCCCTGGCCGTCTGCTTCCCCTCTGCCTCGCACGAGGTGGCTTTAGCCAGAGCTCTACATATTGGCTCCGACTGCCCGTGCCGTATGAGCGTTTCTCCAGTCGCTCGGACACAGCGGTGGAGCTCCGACTCTCATGCTAGCCCATCGGGCCCACGCCCCAAAGGGCGTTTGCCTCCACCCACCAGATAGTAAGGGACCTGGCAATATTCGTCTTCCATCTGTGCTCACCCCTCTGCAGGAAGGCAATGGGGGAAAATAATCAGGGTGTGGCCCCTTCATGCTGGTACCCACACCAGCTGGACAGCAAGGACCAGTCCTAGGCTAGTCACATTGTGGGTGATCACTGCTACTACCACCACCCACTGTGGTATGCTCGAGTGCACACTCCTTTCATATATATTTATATCCACACATCTGCTGTGCGATATTGGCTCCAGTGAAATATGACTTCCCTTCCCCCGCTGTCAGATTGAATTGACAAGCATTATTGACGTGGTGACATATGGGCCTGCCTGGAAAAAGCTCTCGCTCTGAGCCAATGGAGGGGAGGGACATTCTAATAGCACCACCACACATTTTACAGTCAAGTCCAATGGCTGTCATTTAAATGCTTGCTGCAAAGCCCTCTAATATGTACCTCTCTCATTGATAACTGTGATGAAGTTTCCATGTTGCCATTATTGATCTGAGCCCAGATTTGGTTGTGTTCAAAGAAGACAGTACTTGTGTTACTTATGTTACTTTGACTAGTAAAGCCTTAGAAAGTGACTTACAAAGCCTTAATTTGAAAGCCTGAATCTTGGTAATACCCAGTGGTGGAAAAAGTACCCAATTGTCATACTTGAGTAACAGTAAAGATACCTTAATAGAAAATGACTAAAGTAAAAGTGAAAGTCACCCAGTAAATTACAACTTCAGTAAAAGTCTAAAAGTATTTGATTTTAAATATACTTAAGTATCAAAAGTAAATGTAATCGCTAAAATGTACTTAAGTATAAAACGTAAAAGTATAAATCATTTCAAATTCCTTATATTAAGCAAACCAGACGGCACCATTTTCTTATTTTTTAAATTGACGTATAGCCAGGGGCAGACTCAAACATTTAGACATAATTTACAAACGAAGCATGTGTGTTTAATGAGTCTGCCAGATCAGAGGCAGTAGGGATGACCAGGGTAAGTGTTCTGTTATTAAGTGCGTTTTATGGACCATTTTCCTGTGCTGCTAAACATTCAAAATGTAACGAGTACTTTTGGGTGTCAGGGAAAATGTATGGAGTAAAAAATACAATATTTTCTTAAGGAATGTAGTGAAGTAAAAGTAGTCAAAAATAGTAAAGTAAAGTACAGATACCCCAAAAAACGACTTAAGTAGTACTTTAAAGTATGTTTACTTAAGTACTTTACATCACTGGTAATACCCTAACCGACCCACATCTCAGACGGGCATAACTCTAAGAAAATATCAGTACAAATAAAGTACATATTTTAAGCAGATGGGAACACCCATCCAACCCTCCCTAGCCCCTCATCTCAGAGGGGGGATACAAGGAGGAGCTTGGAGAAGCCTGGGAATTAATGATAGAATTATCTGGCAGATATGTCTTTGGTGTACTTGCTTCATTAGAGCTTGCATTGACCATCTGACTAAAGGCTGAGAGGGCACCTGCGGTGCACAGGGTGGGCATTTGGGCACATTTGGGCGCTGTCTCTATGCCAGCCAATTCCACTCATCCATGAAAGCCTGCCCTCTGGAAGATTCCTTTCCCCTTTTGTGTGACCCCTGTTTCACACGAGTGGTCCCATCTCCCCCTTTTCCCTCAAAAGATGTGCCTAAATCCTGGTTTGAAATATGACATGAAATGAAAGTCGAGGCTCAATTTAATGTATGTAGTATCTTTTTTCCCATGGTCAAATTAAATCAATGAATATTTTTGTTCCATTAGCCCATGAATGTCCTGCTTAATATAATGTTTGTGTCATCATTGCAAATCAACTGCATTATGCTTAAAAAACACTTCAACCAGTAAAATGTCTCTTTGGCTAGCTTTTGCTACAGCCTATATCAATGAGTGTTACCATTCTAGTTAACAACTGCTGCATCCAAAATAGTTATTTTGCAAAGATCACAACCAAATATAATCTTAGTGACTGTTCAAGCAAGAATCAAAACATCATTGTAAGCCTATGAGAACCCTAAAAAGTTATTTTGTTTAGCTTAAATCTAGATGTTGGATGGGAGCAGATGGCGATGGCTTTCTTACTGCCGCCAAGAGTCGCGCGCATCTGTGCATGTCGTCAGTGTGTCATGTACTGGAAAGGGGTCTATAGGAGAACCCTTTTTGGTTCCAGGTAGAACCCTCAGTGGAAAGGGTTTTACATGGAATCCAAAAGGGTTCTACCTGGAAGCAAAAGGGGTTCTTCAAAGGGTTATCCTATGGGGACAGCCGAAGAACCCTTTTAAGTTCTAGATAGCACCTTTTTTTCTAAGAGTGTATAGAAAGCTACAGAGTTAGATGCTAGTTAGTGAGCGAGACGTTTCTGCTATAAACTAGACTCAGAAGAAAGCAAAATATATCCAGTGTGCAAAGCTGTCATCAAGGCAAATGGTCGCTATTTGATTTTTTACATTTACATTTTAGTCATTTAGCAGACGCTCTTATCCAGAGCGACTTACAGTTAGTGAATACATATATATTTTCTTTATACTGGGAATTGAACCCACAACCCTGGCGTTGCAAACGCCATGCTCTATCAACTGAGCTACATCCCTGCCGGCCATTCCCTCCCCTACCCTGGACGACGCTGGGCCAATTGTGCGCCGCCCATGAGTCTCCCGGTCGCGGCCGGCTGCGACAGAGCCTGGATTCGAACCAGGATCTCTAGTGGCACAGTTAGCACTGCGATGCAGTGCCTTAGACCACTGCGCCACTCAGGAGGTCACTTTTTTGGTTACTACATGATTCCATATGTGTTATTTTATAGTTTTGATGTCTTCACTGTTATTCTACAATGTAGAAAATAGTAAAAATAAAGAAAAACCCTTGAATGGCGTATTTCCTATTTTGTTGCATTACAACCTGTAGTTTAAATTGATTTTTATTTGGATTTCATGTAATGGACATACAAAATAGTCCAAATTGGTGAAGTGAAATGAAAAAAATTACTTGTTTAAAAAAATTCTAAACAATAAATAACGGGAAAGTGGTGTGTGCATATGTATTGACCCCTTTTGCTATGAAGCCCCTAAATAAGATATGGTGCAACCAATTACCTTCAGAAGTCACATAATTAGTTAAATAAAGTCCACCTGTGTGCAATCTAAGTGTCACATGATCTGTCACATGATCTCAGTATATATACACCTGTTCTGAAAGGCCCCAACACCACTAAGCAAGGGGCACCACCAAGCAAGCGGCACCATGAAGACCAAGGAGCTCTCCAAACAGGTCAGGGACAAAGTTGTGGAGAAGTACAGCTCAGGGTTGGGTTCTAAAAAAATATCAGAAACTTTGACACGTTTGGTGTTCGCCAAAAGCCATGTGGGAGACTCCCCAAACATATGGAAGAAGATACTCTGGTCAGATGAGACTAAAATTGAGCTTTTTGGCCATCAAGGAAAACACTATGTCTGGCGCAAACCCAACACCTCTCATCACCCCGAGAACACCATCCCCATAGTGAAGCATGGTGGTGGCAGGGACTGGGAAACTGGTCAGAATTGAAGGAATGATGGATGGCGCTAAATACAGGGAAATTCTTGAGGGAAACCTGTTTCAGTCTTCCAGAGATTTGAGACTGGGATGGAGGTTCACCTTCCAGCAGGACAATGACCCTAAGCATACTGCTAAAGCAACACTCGAGTGGTTTAAGGGGAAACATTTAAATGTCTTGGAATGGCCTATAAAGCCCAGACCTCAATCCAATTGAGAATCTGTGGTATGACTTAAATATTGCTGTACACCAGCAGAACCCATCCAACTTGAAGGAGCTGGAGCAGTTTTGTCTTGAAGAATGGGCAAAAAATCCCAGTGGCTAGATGTGCCAAGCTTATAGAGACATACCCCAAGAGACTTGCAGCTGTAATTGCTGCAAAATATGGCTCTACAAAGTATTGACTTTGGGGGGGTGAACAGTTTGCACGCTTCTGTTTTTTTGTCTTATTTCTTGTTTGTTTCACAATAAAAAATATTTTGCATCTTCAAAGTGGTAGGCATGTTGTGTAAATAAAATGATACAAACCCCCCAAAAATCAATTTTAATTCCAGGTTTTAAGGCAACAAAATAGGAAAAATGCCAAGGGGGGTGAATACTTTCGCAAGCCACTGTAGGTGTGTCCAAACTTTTGACTGGTAGTGTATATAACAATTATTTATTACTTATAAATTATTATATATTATAGCATTTTTCTATGCATTCAGAGCAACAAATATGGCACACAATAGCTCACTTTTGGCATTTTATGACAGTCATTGCTTTTCAGGCTTGCAACCGTTCAGTGAAATGGGGCTATTCCTGAAATGACTGGAATGTACATAGATTGGAATTGACCCCAACACTAAAGTGAGAGTTTTGACCCCTGCCCCCTAGACTCTTTGACTTGTGCTTGGGGAGGGAGGGTGGGAGGGGAGTGTCTGACAGCTGTGTGTCTCGTGCCACACTGTGAAGTTTCAGCCCCTGTGGGGGCTTCAGTGAGCGGTTCCATTGTGTCTCTCACTCCACTACAGTCAGCCACTGTCAGCTAATGCCACATAGCCTACTTCATCGTCAAAATCCACACCCACGTCCAAAATCCACCCCTAGGCTCCGAATGTCATTCACACACACTTAAACCCAAACGCATATATCTTAACTGTCTCGTGACCACACCTTCCGATCGCTCACACCCCTCACAGCCACATCCTGATCACATATACAATGCTTACACATATTCACACACATTCTAGAACCCTCGACAGCAGCATTGTACCCTCACCCTCCATCAGACCAATGCTCACACACCCCCAGACCCCTCGGCAGCCTTCCACCCCAATCCTCCTCATCACACACTTGCTCACACACAATTCACCCCCTCACAACAACACCTTCAACACATATGCAATGCTCACATCCACCTTGCTCCCACACACCCATCTCACACACACATTCTTGAGCACACACACACAGACGTGAAAGCATGCACATGA